GAACTTACTTCAGATTCAGTGGCAAGCCCTCAGGTGTCAACGTACAAATGACACACCGAAACAATTAGCCATCGCACAGGATGAAGTGAACTTCAGTGAAGTTCCTTTTGTCTTGAACACGTAAGAAGGCGCTTCCTCAATGGTAATCGTCGGCGATGTCATGGTTTTTCTGTCTTCCCAGTCGTCTTCGACTGTCAGAGCATCCAACAACGTCCAGCACTCTGCCATTCCTCATACAGCAACCGATCCCTGTGTTTGTAAATGTAGTCGCAGGCATTGGGAAGTCCCTTGACCACACAGGCCGACATCCCATTTCTATATGTAGTCATGTTCGTAACCTCGCACCATTCATTTCTGCTGACGTCGAAACACTCCACTCGGCAAGTGCTGACTTCGTTAATGAAACCACCGATGGCGTAGATGGTGTCGTCAATCACTTGAAGCGCGAAGTCACCACGTGGAATAAGCAGGTGGGAGATCTCGGTCCACGTGTCCGTTTCTGGGTCGTAACTCTCGCCACTGCTCGTAGCGCGAGAACCTTGGATATATCCTCCTGCGGGTACAAATGTTCTGTGTTAAGTCTGCCGAACGAAACGTGTTCCAAGTCCTTGACGATAATTATGACTCCCTCAAATGGTGAAGAAATTTCTAGCCTTAAAATGGAACCAGAATGTTCATTACCATGTTCGCAAAATTACATCATTCGACCGTTCTGACGTATGTTATTATTTTCTAAAATCACTTTTAATATTATCCTCCTATTTACGTGGTCTCTTCCCTTCAGGTTCTTTGGTTAAAACTTCGCATTTATCTATATTCCATGCATGCTACACACTCAGCCAACGTCGTCATATGGTTTTATGCTCCCAAAATATGAAATTCGGTCAAAGTAATGAATGAATCAACGAAACAAAAATGTATAAAGCCACATGAGTAAGAACCGAGATAAATTCACTCGTTTTTGCAATGTTCATGTTTATAACGGCAACAAAATGAAGAATAAAATGTCTATGATGGAGCACACTTTATCTTCCTTATAGCTCGATTAGTGAACAATGGAATTTATGAAATACGCAAATCACAGTTCTGTAGTTCATTTATGCAGCACGCCATTACAAGAAGATTGTCCTGAACTATGCAGTGTCTCGGAAGTCACCGAACTCAAGTTTAATGCCATGTTCAATGTGCATATTGGATTATAGTTACGTATTAAGCTTATAATTACACAGTCGAAACATGCGTTGAAAGAATTCCGAACACACGCGTAAACAACGGAATCCGTTTCAACACGTTCCCAGGCAATCTGACGACTGACGAGTGACTCCGTCGAATTTCCAAAATTATTTTGTACCTCAGCAATTGCCACGCCCGTTAACTGCTACATACGACTGTGTCCGAAAACACTGTTCAACAATAAACACCTTGCATTGTTGAAAACGTAATTTGTTGCACAAACCGCCGAATAAATAGCACGGAATTCAAAGAAACCGCTTCAAACAACGCGGGCTCTGTAGGGAGACGAGG